TGCAGGCAAAGAAGAAATAATTGGTGATTTAACTGACTTTCCAAACATTACTTATGAAGAATTAGAAATAGAGTCATAAGAGCTATGAAACTATTGCCAGGTGGAGAGGTAGATTTTTGCAACCTGTTTTGGTCACATCACTATGTTGGACAAGAAAAGTGGATCTCAGGAAGAACTGGCAGCCCCTGGTTAATAAAGATTTGACTGTGAATCATCATGACAAGGGTCAACTTTATAAGCAAAGCTGCCTTCGTCGTGTCCCCTCAAGTATTGGTTAAGGGCCAAAAGGGTGTGGCATAAGAATAAACAAAAAGAAGTGTATTGTACATCCGCTTCTATAGTGGGTAAGAAATGTGATGTAATAACCATCACCTTTTTATCTTGCTGGGCTTCTGACTATTAGAAACAAAGTTCTAAAAATTAATTGATGAGTCAAGCAAGTGTAGGTAGTAAAATCAACTATCTCAAAAAATCACACCTGTATAAGCCACCAATATCTCAACAGATTTTTCAATGTAAGAGTAAATAGGTCAATGAGATGACATTCACCTCTCAATATTCAAGAACATTGGCTTAATGCAATTGTGTTTCCCTGCTGAGTTCCAATATTTTGATAGTGAATTTTTTCAAAGAATATATATATATTCTGCACCATTTTGTGAGAGAAACAGGATCATCTTTTGTCATCGTAAACCAGTCTTCTGGTTAAATGGAAAACTTAAAAATATCCAGACCAAATTTGGGGAAATAAGTATTTTTCCCAAATAGCATACATGATACTTTCTTAATAATGTTTTCAGTCATGAATATTATTTTATCTCACTAGACCTGTTGTCTTCTTTATTAGTCTCAATTTCTACATATAAATTTTTGCAAAAAAGCAAACAAAGCAAAACAAAAAACTAGCAGGAAAACTAGTAAAGATGCAGGCAGGAAAGCTGTCATCCCCAGAGCCAGTACATCTACTGATTTCTGATGTCATGATCTCTAACTTTTTAAAATTTCACTGAGTGAATACAGAAGTTGAACGATGCAATAAAGATCGTGGTTTGTTAATTTAAGTCCTGTCTTAGCCAATTCCGTGGAACTGAGGAATAGGACTGACTCTGATTCTGAAACAAGGTATGAAAGGACTATGACAGGCCATGCTCCTCCAGCATCTCCACAGTTGTACTCCTACATAAAGAGAACAACTAAAAAAGTTACTTTTACTTATTGGATTAAATTAATTTGCTTAATTTTTTTCTACTTAATTTTTTTCTACTTTCAGAAATAATTCATAATAAAACTCATGGCAACATAAGTTACTTTTCATCTTTTAAAAATAGATTCAGTCATTAATACAGTTCCATAATTTTACCCAAACCTCTTTAAATAGCTAATCAAATTTTCACTAGAACTTCAGCCTAGTTTGAACATGTTTTATAAGAAATATTATTACAGTGTGTTAAAACCTTATTAAACAAACAACTCTTTAAAAAGTTCAGCATTTTTATTTTGTGTCATTTCTATATTTGTTAGATGCATGCATACTACCTTCATTCATCAAATAATGAAGCAATGTAGTATGTGAAAATTTAAGGAAAAATTCTCTAAGTCTTTTCTTAATATATTCAGCTCTTTGTATTCATAATAGTAAAGTAAAGAGTATCATGGGTAAATCAACAGTGGATCACCAAGAAATCACTTTTATTTGTCTGAGACGATGCAAAGATCTGATTTTGCAGCATATTTCAATGCCTAATTAAGTTACTGGTCTTGGTTGGAATCAGTGCATCGTCCTTCTTATCACCCCATCTGAACCACGCAGCCCTAATTCCCACTGCTCTTTGTTTCAAGTCCTCTGTCAGTCAAGCAAGTCACGCTGTCCTTAGAACATGCCATGCTCATCCATTCCTCTGTGACTGCTCGTGTATGCCCCTCTGTCTAGAAATCACTTTCAGTTATCTTTCCTCCTCTCTTCCTACCCAACTCTGTACATTTTTCTATGTACTGTTTTAGTCCCCATCCTTTTGAAGTCTCCTAATATTTGTTGGTGGGATCTCTTCGTTTTCAGGTCTCTTATGACACTAACCATCTTGCATGTGCTAGGTATTTGACTGATTATACTAACTGGACCATCTGCTTCTTCAAGACAGGAATGTGGCTTCTTCCCTCCAATCACCTCACAAGGTCTAGTTTATAGGAATCCTCAGTCAATACTTGTGGATAGAATTGAATTGCAGCGATGTCTCCTTCCTATGCTGTCCCTGAAACGTGGACAGGATACTTTGAGGTCTGATTTTAAAATGAATAAACTTAATCAAAGCAAAGCTGGAATGTTTTCATAAACTACCAAAGACAATGTAGAAAAAGGCAAAGAGAATGTAGCTACAAGACAGAGTGGTGCAGTGGATCTGGGATGTGGGAAAGAAAGAAAAAAATCCTTCCTCTCCATTCTTCTTAACAATTAAATTAGCTTTCTATATATATTAATTCTTCCTAGCACAGGCAACATTCCCTTCATTCTATTTCATGGGAAATACTATACAGATTATATATTAAAAGAATAATAACGCATAACTTAATTTGCTGGCTAATGTGAAAATTAAGAGAACAAGGCATGTCTTCAGATAAAGAAGCTTAGTAGATTAAAAACCAACAAACATCACAAGATATAAAGTGTAAGAAACTCAATCTTCCCAACTGCTGCCATGCCCTTTGAAAATGGCTGATCTCTGAATTTCACACCTGTTCTGCATGTCAACTTTTAGGATAAGCAAACAGAACAACTAGCAAAAATAGTAAGTGGATTTTTAAAAAGGAAACATTTGCCTGATTAGCCTATATATACTGAAACACACACACATATACATGCACACATACACACAAAGGCACACACATACATACATGTATTCCAAGATCTGATAAATGACAATATGGCAGTAAACAGTCTACTAATACTATGCATAGTGAATATATATAATGTAATATATAAAGGGTCTATCCTTTCTTTGAAGAGATTCATTCTATCATATTTAGATATGAAATTAAAATGATAACACAAAGATATGCCTGTTTGGGGGGCAGAGTCTAAACAAAAGCAGTATATGGCCTAGAGATGTAGTAGCATGCCATATAACAGCTTAAGACCATTAGCAATTAGTCTCTTAAGACTTAAAGAAAAGCCAGATACACGTCTAGTCTATTGTAGAATTCATCAGTATCGTGCATCGGTTGAGTTGGTTCTGAGTGGAAACATTTAAAATTTCCTAAAGACACACTCTATAAAGCATAATAGCAGAGAGAGAGTTTAAAAATCACTATACGAGGTTAGAGATTCTCTTTGTAAACACTTAAATAACCCATAACCTACTTTTAATAATTAATTCTATGTAGGTTTTAATGTACAGTTTATAAAATTTTTTAGTGTGGGGTATTTATGAATATATCACACATGTAAATCATTTTTACACATACATTCTACAAACGATATTGATATTTTGTTACTACACATTAAGTGACTCTTCCCAGTTAATCCATAAATCTTTGGGAAAATTCAATTGTCATTTTTTATTATGCACATAAACTTTCCCTGTGTTTCTCACTTCTCAGTCCTGCCTAAGAAAGAGAATAAAGGTTAAAGAAAGGATAATTTATTTCCTACCTTCACAGATATGAGTGGGTATATTTTAAATACATTTCTACACTTTGAAAGTTGGAAAGGAAAATGACATAAGAGATTATAAATGTCCTTCATATTTATTTCATAGTCTTTAATATTTGGGATCAGGCATATAGACTTCAATTTAAGTCAGTTGTCTTCTCCCATATAAATTCTTTGGCCTACATGATCTTACTCCCATGCTTAAATTAATACTTAAGTGCAACATGTTGATTTTTCATTATGTGAATAAGTAAGGAAACCAGTTGCAGCCTGAATCTTTGAGTATAACAGCTACATCTGTATCTTTACTGATCTATGCATGTGAGGTTCAACCTTTAATAATAATAATAGTAGTTGTAATAATTATTATTGTTATAAAAACACAATTGCCAACTTTTGAGTGTTTACAATAATTGGGCACTGTTTTAAACTCTTTATGTGAAAAACTCATTTATGTTTTATGACTTCATGAGAGAAGTGTTATTACTTTCCCATTTTACAGATAGATGCACAAAGGCTGGTTTTCCCAAGGTCACATGCTAGTCTAGATTCAGACTCCACCAGTCTTTCCCCAGAGCTGATCCTCTTAAACTCTGTACCATGTTGTTCCTTCAGTTCAGATATACTAAGTTATCTTACAAATTGCAGTTATATGTTAGCATGCTGCATGGTGCTATACTAATATATAAGTACATTACATACTATGAGATATGAGTATACCACTATATCTTGCACAGATAATCCTATTTTTATTAGTGCTCCTAAAAAAAGAAAGCTCCTAAAAGTATTCTGTTCTTTTCAATTTATTCAAATGACCTCAAAAAATACACTTTGACTTCCTTCCAGGAAACAAACATTGCACTAGTCCCAAATCTTGCCTAGCTTGAGTATAGCGAAGGAGTTAGAGACCAGTAATTGCAATATCTTGTGACCAGTTCAACAATAGAGGTAAGATCTAAGCACAGAAGTGGCACAAAGAAAGGAATGTTTGGTCCTGTAAACACTTTGCTTCTTATATTTCATAAATGTGCCATCTTTTTAGCACAATAATTTTAGGTATCAAGGAAATCAGAATAAAACCCTCCAAATGCCTCATTACAACTGGTGTTTTACAGACATAATAACTACAATGAGAATACATCTTGATGTGACTGGTATAGTATTTATTTATGCCTGATGTCCCAGTGTAATTATTAATAGCACTCCTTTCACTTTCAAAAGTAAAATGATTTGGATGAAAAATGCTAAGGTCAGCCTAAAAGTCCAAGAAAATATCTTAGCCAGCAGGTGTATATCACTCTGTGTCACAAGAATAAAAGGGGAAACTTCCAATATGAATCCATCTATAACCTACCGGCAGAATTCTTGTCCTCAGGGTTGTAGAATATAGCTCAGATGTACCAGTCCCTGGTCAGCCTAAGTAAAGAAGAGCAACATTTTTGCAGATTCAGTATTGCAGAGGGCAATGATTTTTTTAAAAAAGTAGGGACATTTTGTAAAGAATGTGCTGGTCAAAATCCATTAGAAAGAAGTCATTTACATTACTGACACTGGATAACCGTAACTTTGTGGAACCTGATACTATAGCCTATAGCCTATTCAGAGGGCACAGGACATGATACTTCCACCATCCAGGATAGTCAAAGTGGAACAAGATGGAAGAAACTTTAGCAAAAGTTGTGGAAGCCACTGTGTGTTACTCAAAATTATAATGGCGTTATGTTTCTGGAAGCTGTATTATGAGTGTACATGCTGCTCATCATTTGTAAGAGAAACAAATATTTTTGGAAATTAAGCTACATATTACTGGCATTTTACAATCATGAGACAAGCTAATAGTATTTCAGTAGCAAAAATAAATTAAAATATAAACAAATGACCCAAGATTTCAATAAGAGACAAGGACATTTTAAGGCAGAACCAGTGTCACTCCATCTAGTTTTGGCCTTTGCAATAACCATTACTTTTGGCCTCACTTCACACAGGTGTGCTGTGCTGACACTGTGAATGACAATGGATCAGCATTCCTTTCACTTCTGCTTAAGGGATATGTGCACTGGAACCTTATCCAAAGAACTACTACCATAATTTAAGACCACAAAATATGTTCATACTGAATGAATGGCAAAAGGCTAGCATTGTTGCCCTAAAAGTGTTGTGCCTCTGGTGACTTCAATCCAGCCTTACACTTACAGGGTGTAGAAGAACAGTTTTTAAATAGTGGTCTTTCTCTATGTACTCTTTGTTCATTTAAAAAATGTCACTGGGGTCACTTTTATGTACCTATAAAGCTGTCCTATCACTGAAGGTGTAGAGCTCATGATATTTTATGAAGTTGCATATTATCATTTTTAATTGTTAGAGACAAGGGAATTTTGATAATAGTCAATGTGCATTACTCAAAGCCCTTTGGTTGGAAATAACCAAAACCTTTCAAAGTAGTTTAAGCAAAACAAAACAAAACACACAGAAAAAAACATATCTTAAGGAAACAAGACCACTACACCAGGGCTAGATGTGAAAACAGGCATCAGTAGGGACAGAAGCCGGGTCATGAAAAGCCATCAGAAATGGAATCTCTCCCGACTTTCCTGTTTTCCCATCTTTTTTTCCCTTTTCTGAGTCTACTTTATTTTTCTGTTTTTTGCCAGTGGATTTTCTCTTTCAACTTACTCTTCAAGATGCATGGTCCCTAAAGTAGAATTTTCCAATGGCAATCTTGCATCCTGATTATATATGTCCAAAGGTTAACTGCTTAGAGATACCTGGATCTCAGTTCTAAACTCCTAGAAGACAGAAATTTATTCAGTTGTTCGTTCTACATGCAATCCATTGTTTCCCCGTAACTGGAGGCACAGGGTGATAGAGGGACTCACTGTAACGGAAATGTTTGTAGGTTCTCGAAGGGTAGGTGGGAATATGGAATTTGTAATGTGTATCTCTAACGTGCCAATTGTCATACATTTATGCTTCTCTTTATCCTTTTGTAGATCTACATGGCCCAAATTTCTGTAGATTTAGAGTAGATCTTGATATTAGGTGAGGCAAGTTCCTATACATTTTTCTTTAAAACTCTGTAACTCTTGGCCCCTTGCTGTTCCATATGAATTGTAGGATCAGCTTACCAAGTTTCATGAAAAACTTGATTTTTAATGGAATTTTACTGAATGTGTACATTAATTTGAGGAGAATTGACATTTAAAAATATTGAGTCTTTCCACCCATGAGAATAGTATATTTCTTATTCATTTTTTGTTCCTTCAATTATGATCTATAATATTCTCCATGAATACATTGCATATTTACTATCAGATATACTCCTAAGTACCTCAAGGATTTTGTTACTATTTTGAATGAATCACTTTTTCCTATTATATTTTCTTTAGGGAAATTATTGATATTTCATAACACTTGATTTTTATTTGTCACTTATTCAACTATTTTGCCAAAGTTTCTCATTAGTCCTACTAGTTATTAGTTTGATATTTTGGTCATTATGCCAATAATGTATAAGAACAGTATTGATTTTTGTATGTTCTTTTATGCATCTTGCCAAATTCTATCATTAATACAACTAGTTGGTATTATTTTTAATTCACTTGCTTCTATTTTCTTTTTCTTGTCTTCTTGAGGTAAATGTATGTCTTATTTATTTTTAATCCTTTCCCTTAAAAAAGTTCATATAATACTATAAAATAAACCAAATATTTTTAACTGCATTGAACTGATTTTGAGATAATTACCTGTAACTCAAAAATATATGTGTGAATACATATATATAACATTTTAAACATTTTTATTCCCTTTTATTTCCTGTTTCCCTCTATAATTCCCACTGTAATTTAACACGAGTTATTTAACAGGACATTTAATTTTTTATGATCTTTAATAATTGGTACAAATTACATTAGACTATTGTCATAGAATGTGGCTGACGGCCAATTATTTGAAATGTGATAATACTTCCTTTGTGATCTACTGCACTGTCAATGTAATTATTATTCTATGTATTCATTCTTTTGGGGGGTACAGAGTTCTTTATATATTTATTAGGTCATGCTTCATAAGTCTGTTGTTCAAAACTATATTCTAAGTCCAGAGATAATCCCACGCACCTGTGGTCACCTACTCTATGGCAAAGGAGGCAAGAATATACAATGGAGGAAAGACAGTCTCTTCAATAAGTGGTGCTGGGAAAACTAGACAGCTACATGTAAAAGAATGAAATTAGAACACTCCCTAACACCATACACAAAAATAAACTCAAAATGAATTAAAGACCTAAATATAAGACTGGACACTGTAAAACTCTTAGAGGAAAACGAAGGAAGAACACTCTTTGACATAAATCACAGCAAGATCCTTTTTGACCCACCTCCTAGAGAAATGGAAATAAAAACAGAAATAAACAAATGGGACCTAACAAAAAGTAAAAGCTTTTGCACAGCAAAGGAAACCATAAACAGAATGAAAAGACAACCCACAGAATGGGAGAAAATATTTGCAAAAGAAGCAATCGACAAGGGATTAATCTCCAAAATATACAAACAGCTCATGCAGCTCAATATCAAAAACACAAACAACCCAATCCAAAAATGGGCGGAAGACCTAAATAGACATTTCTCCAAAAAGGACATATAGATGGACAACAGGCACATGAAAAGCTACTCAACATCACTAATTATTAAAGAAATGCAAATCAAAACTACAATGAGGTATCACCTCACATCAGTCAGAATGGCCATCATCAAAATATCTACAAACAATAAATGCTGGAGAGGGTGTGGAGAAAGGGAACCCTCCTGCACTGTTAGTGGGAATGTAAATTGGTACAGCCACTATGGAGAACAGTATGGAGTTTCTACAAAAACCTAAAAATAGAGCTACCATATGATCCAACAATCCCACTCGTGGGCATATATCCAGAGAAAACCATAATTTGAAAAGATACATGTACCCCAATGTTCATTGTAGCATTATTTACAATAGCCAGGACGTGGAAGCAAACTAAATGTCCATTGACAGAGGAATGGATAAAGAAGATGTGGTACATATATATGATGGAATATTACTCAGCCATAAAAAGAATGAAATAATTCCATTTGCAGTGACATGGATGAACCTAGAAATGGTCATACTGAGTGAAGTAAGTTAGACAGAGAGAGACAAATATCATATGATATTGCTTACCTGTGGAATCTATAAAAATACGTTCATTTAACCTATTTACAAAACAGAAATCGAGTCACAGATGTAGAAAACAAACTTATGGTTACCAAGGGGGAAAAGGTGGGGAGGGATAAATTGGGAGATTGGGATTGACATATACACACTACTATATATATAAAATAGATAACTAATAAGAGCCTACTTTATAGCACAGGGAATTCTACTCAATACTCTGTAATGATCTAAATGGGAATAGAATCTAAAAAAGAGTGGATATATGTATATGTATAACAGATTCACTTTGCTGTTCAGCAGAAACTAACACAACACTGTAAATCAACTATACTCCAATAAAAATTAATTAATAAAAAACCTGTATTCTAACTAATATTTAGTGTGCTTTGACTACCATTACTTGAAATCTCCTAATATTATGAAAGTATCCATTTCTTCTTGTAATTGTGTCAAGTTTTGCTTTAAATATTTAAGATTCTTAATTCTTAGTTGCAAATAAGCTCATTGTTACCATTTCTTAGTGAATTTGTCCTTTATTACTGTACATGATATTCTTATTAATACTCACCTTAAATTATATGCCATCAGATATTAATATTGCTGCACTAGTTTTCTTATGATTAATATTGACATAACATAGCTTTCCTCATAACTTTATCATATCTCTTGTCAGAAACTTATAGCTATATTTAAAAAAATTCAACCTATAGTCTGTCCTTTAATAGAGGAGTTTGAGCCATTCATGGTATTTCGATAAGCTAATACATTTGGACTTATTTTTACCATGTTATTTTGAGTTTCTATTTTATATTTTTCCCTCCTTGTTCTCTGTCCTTCATTCTTAATTTCTTGAATTACCTTTCCAATTTACTAGTTCTCTCTTCTACTTTGTCTAATATAGAATTATTTTTCATTTCAATAACCATGACTTTTATTTAAATATATAGAATTTGTTCTTTTTCATACCTAGCCATTTTTTTTCTTCTTTAAAAAAATAATTCCATACACCTGAAACTAACACAATATTGTAAATCAAGTATACTTCAATAAAAAAAAATTCCTTCCCATTTAAAAAATAAAAGTTATTCCTCCATTTATCACTTTGAGTATCTTAAATGTAGATATTTAAAAACTTTAGTGGATTATCCCATTAGTTTGAAGGGAATGTGCCAATTCTTGATTTGGTTGTAGCTGTATTTGGTATTTGATTCCTTCACGTGTTTTAGAATTTT